TTTCCATTACTGTTCGCTGCGCGCCTTTAGCAAATCCTGACAGTATTCAGGCGCATACTGTCATTAAATCTGCCAATTGTTTTCTTATTCAAACCAGATTTGAATTTCTTATTTAAGCAAATTGCATGTTTTTCACACGTGTGCAAAAGTTTTCTATAATTGCCATAATAAATGCACATGGCTTGCTGATTAGATCTGATGAGTTGATTCTTTGTGAAATTGTCATACTTTTCACAACTTTTAACTTTCTTGCATCATGTGAGCCATTACATGAAAAATTATGATCCATTAAAATATCAAAATCTGTCCGACATAGATGTATATTCCTTTAATATCTATGACATTAAATGTTTGTGCTGTCTACTAAATTGGAAAATTACTTACCATATTAATAAAACTGAAATACATACAAATGTGTGTACTACAGTTTTGAAGAATGAATTAAAGTTGACCTATTATGCCCCTTTCTACAATATGTAATATAAGTCTCCCCAGAATGTGTCTGTGAAGTTTCAGCTCAAAATACCCCACATATCAATTATTATATCATTTTGAAAATGCCTATTTTGACAGGAAGCAAAAACAAGCTGTTTTTGTGCCTGTATCTTTAAATGCAAATGAGCCGCTGCTCCCCGCCCCCTTTTCCACAATAGGGCTGTGCCTTTACAGCTCATATGTCATATGTAAAAAAACAACAACAACAACCTCTGTTTGGTTTTGATTATCATGTCTATCACACTGAAATCAAGCGTTTTAATATTAGTTTAAACTTCTGATACAGGGTTTTCTGAGCACACAATTCCGAAGCACACGCACAGAAAGTGGAGCTCCTTTTGCACTTGCATCTCCTTCTGTTTGAGCCTTTTTTCAGTTGCTGATTCTCATGCTCTTGAAACTGCTTCTCCTTCTGTTTGAGCACCTTTTGCAGCTGCTCCTTCCTTGTGTTTGAGCTCTTTTGTCAGTTGCTGATTCTCCTCTTGATTTTGCAGCGATTCCATCTGTTTGAGCTAATTTTAGTGTTGTTGATTCTCCTGCCTTTGCTTTTGCAGCCGCTTCTCCTTCTGTTTGAGCCCATTTGTCAGTTGCTGTGTCTCCTGCTTTTGCAGCTGCTCCCCCCTCTGATTGAGCTCACTTGTGAGTTGAAGTGTGTCCTGCTTTTGCAGCTGCTTTTACTTTTGTTTGAGCTCCTTTTCTAGTTGTTGAGTCTTCTCCTCTTGCAGTTGCTCCTCCTGTTTGAGCTCCTTTTCCAGTTGCTGATTCTCCTCCTGTTGCTTTTGCAGCTGCTCCTTTTGTTTGAGCTTCTTTTCCAGTTTCTGAATTTCCTCCGGTTGCTTTTGCAGCTGCTCCTTCTATTTGAGCTCCTTTTCCAGTTGCTGTCTTCTGCTTTTGCAGTTGCTCCTCCTTCTGTTTGAGCTCCTTCTCCAGTTGCTGATTCTCCTCCTCTTGCAGGTGCTCCTCCTTTTGTTTGAGCTTCTTTTCCTGTTTCTGATTCTCCTCCTCTTGGTTTTGCAGCTGCTTCTCCTTCTGTTTGAGCTCCTTCTCCAGTTGCTGATTCTCCTCCTCTTGCTTTTGCAGCTGCTCCTCCTTTTGTTTGAGCTCCTTCTCCAGTTGCTGATTCTCCTCCTCTTGCTTTTGCAGCTGCTCCTCCTTTTGTTTGAGCTCCTTCTCCAGTTGCTGATTCTCCTCCTCTTGCTTTTGCAGCTGCTCCTCCTTTTGTTTGAGCTCCTTCTCCAGTTGCTGATTCTCCTCCTCTTGCTTTTGCAGGTGCTCCTCCTTTTGTTTGAGCTTCTTTTCCTGTTTCTGATTCTCCTCCTCTTGCTTTTGCAGCTGCTTCTCCTTCTGTTTGAGCTCCTTCTCCAGTTGCTGATTCTCCTCCTCTTGCTTTTGCTGCTGCTCCTCCTTTTGTTTGAGCTTCTTTTCCAGTTTCTGATTCTCCTCCTCTTGCTTTTGCTGCTGCTCCTCCTTTTGTTTGAGCTTCTTTTCCAGTTTCTGATTCTCCTCCTCTTGCTTTTGCAGGTGCTCCTCCTTTTGTTTGAGCTTCGTTTCCAGTTTCTGATTCTCCTCCTCTTGCTTTTGCTGCTGCTCCTTTTGCTTGAGCTTCTTTTCCAGTTTCTGATTCTCCTCCTCTTGGTTTTGCAGCTGCTTCTCCTTCTGTTTGAGTTCATTTAGCAATTGTACCTCCTTCTGTTTGAGCTCATTTGTCAGTTGCTGTGTCTCCTCCTCTTGCTTTTGCAGCTGCTTCTCCTTCTGTTTGAGTTCATTTTGCAACTGCACCTCCTTCTGTTTGAGCTTATTTGTCAGTTGCTGTTTCTCCTCCTTCTCCAGTTCCTGATTCTCCTCCTCTTGCTTTTGCAACTGCACCTCCTTCTGTTTGAGCTCATTTGTCAGTTGCTGTGTCTCCTCCTCTTGCTTTTGCAGCTGCTCCTCCTTCTGTTTGAGCTCCTTCTCCAGTTCCTGATTCTCCTCCTCTTGCTTTTGCAACTGCACCTCCTTCTGTTTGAGCTCATTTGTCAGTTGCTGTGTCTCCTCCTCTTGCTTTTGCAGCTGCTCCTCCTTCTGTTTGAGCTCCTTCTCCAGTTCCTGATTCTCCTCCTCTTGCTTTTGCAACTGCACCTCCTTCTGTTTGAGCTCATTTGTCAGTTGCTGTGTCTCCTCCTCTTGCTTTTGCAGCTGCTCCTCCTTCTGTTTGAGCTCCTTCTCCAGTTCCTGATTCTCCTCCTCTTGCTTTTGCAACTGCACCTCCTTCTGTTTGAGCTCATTTTTCAGTTGCTGTGTCTCCTCCTCTTGCTTCTGCAGCTGCTCCTCCTTCTGTTTGAGCTCCTTTTGCAACTGCACCTCCTTCTGTTTGAGCTCGTTTGTCAGTTGCTGTGTCTCCTCCTCTTGCTTTTGCAACTGCACCTCCTTCTGTTTGAGCTCGTTTGTCAGTTGCTGTGTCTCCTCCTCTTGCTTTTGCAACTGCACCTCCTTCTGTTTGAGCTCGTTTGTCAGTTGCTGTGTCTCCTCCTCTTGCTTTTGCAGCTGCTCCTCCTTCTGTTTGAGCTCATTTTTCAGTTGCTGTGTCTCCTCCTCTTGCTTTTGCAGCTGCTCCTCCTTCTGTTTGAGCTCATTTGTCAGTTGCTGATTCTCCTCCTCACACTTTTGCAACTCCTGTTTCACATGCCATGTTTCTAGTAATATACCTCCAATCAATGCAATAGCACACACAGTATATGCAAACTTTCTCAGGTTCATTTTGTCCTTCCCTGTTATTTCTGTTTTAGTTGTTTTAAACATATCAGGTTTGTAATGCTTTATTCCATGTTCCCTCATTATTCCATTGATCTTTTGAAGCAGTTTTGTAACTTGTTGATTGTTTCTATCTTCATTGTTAAACGAATGGTATTTACCACCACAACTATCAACTAATTTTGGTAAATAGTGGCTTTCCCTGATGTACTCCTCTAAAGATTTACCCTTCAGCAGATCAGTGTGAGTAAACAGAATCATGGTATGAATCAAAGCCTCTTTTCCAAAGTTCTCCTGAATCCATTGCACTGAGTTCCTCTCTTCTTCTGTGAATCTAACCCCCAGTTTGATCACCATCAGGAACACATGAGGACCAGGAGCAGACATCTCTACACACCTCTCTATTTCAGCCTTTACTTGCTCTTTTGTGATAGATGCATTGAATAGTCCTGGAGTGTCAAATACAACAATGTTCTTCCCATCCATGTATCCTTCCTGTTTCTCACATATTTCACTGGTCTCTTTAAATGCATTTTTGCCCAGGATTGTGTTTCCTGTTGCAGTTTTTCCTGCCCCAGTTTTACCCAGTAGAATAATCCTTAGATCACCTTACAAAAAAAAAAACATTAAAATCAGACACAAACAAATATTCAGTCATTTAAGAATATATAGAATTTTTCAGTTAAATGACGGAGGAAAACAAACCTAACAAAACGTTTTTGTTTTTTTTTGACATGATTTTATATATTGCATCTTAATCCTTTCTTGCCTCATGTATTAACACTGAGTTGTACTTTCTACAGTGATATCATAAAGCTTAACCAAAATATTCATAACAAAAATGATTTTTTTAAATTTATTTTGCTCTCATCTGTATCAGATGGGGCTGGTGGCCATCCATCCGACCACCAGAGAGGGAACCCTCTCCTGAATACTGACTGTTTGCTTTTTCTTTGGTTACTTCCTGTTTGACACCATATTTAAACCATGCTGGTTTAGTTTCTCACTGCGAAGTATTGCCAGTTTCACTGCCTTACCAAGCATTCTTTTCCCATTGTGTTTTGCTCTATTGTTATGACCATTGTGGTTGTCTTTTGGATTACTGTTTTTGCCCTGTTGGACTGATTTCCCAATTGTTTGATATACGCCTGTCTTCTCGACTATGGAACTGCCTTGTGATTTGGATTTGTTGCTGAGTGTTAATAAACTTCCCGCATTTCGATCTAACACTGCCTCCATGTCGTCGCCTATGGCTCCCTCACATCATCATTTTATTAAAATTGTGGCTAAAATCAATTTTGATAAACTTTTATTGGTTTGTGCTTTAAGTTTCCTGTATTATTGTAAAAATTAGTTTCTTTATATAGGACTCCCAGACATTTTCTCTCAGTGGGCTGAAAACACTCTGATCTGATCTTACACATTTGGTTTGTAGCAAGCACATATGCAGTTATTACAATATATTGTACATGTATATGAATTGTGTTAGTTTACTTACAACTGTTGAAAAAAAAAATACAAATAATTTCTTGTTGGTGCCAATTCCACCATCCCCACCCCAATCCAATTTGTGTGCTTGCTAAAGTATAATATCTGCTCAATACGTTGTTTATTTTTTATTCTGCATATATTCAAAGATTTCCTAAAATGTTGTCAATGTTGACTTGAGAGTATAATCAAGAACAAAAATGTTGTTTGCCATAGATAAGTTTGACAAGTACATCATTTTAGAAGAAAAATGTCTTCTCACTGTTTAAATGTTTAAACAAACTGACCTTTTCCTGAAGTCATTATTACTGTGTGGAATTTCCTGCGTTGTTTCACTCAGGTGTTCTCTCTCTCAGAATGAAACTGCCAGAGCTTCTTGTTGTGATAGTGAAAGTCCTTTTGTTGAATCAGTCACAATGATCATGTGACTGCCTCTCTCAGGTCTTTGTAAACTCCCACTTGAAGACACTATATACCAGCACTGAGCAAAAGAGATCTGAGGTCTGATTGGTGTATGTAGTTTGTGCTCCTTTGAACCAAACTATATTTAAAGTAATTAATACATTGTTCACATGTTCACTTTACATTCAGATGAACTTTGTAGTTTGCTAATACTCCTAACTTATCAATAAAAGGTTTACAATTTAAACAATAATATTAGCAAATATAAATATTAAATTTATATTATTCATATATAGTAATAATACATAAATTGTTCAATTAATATATAATGAACATATTCCATAGGCTGAAAATGTTGATAATGGTATATGGTTAACTAATGAAAAATGAACATACAGTAGGTACCCCTTTTCATGTTACACAAGTTATATATATATATATTCTTCGTAAAACTTAAAATGTAGGATTAAATTTAGTTCATAAATGAATATCATTTAGGTAACACATAATAACGTAATATAATGCTTTGCAGATCATTAGTTAATATAAATTCACATAGCTAGAAATATGAGATAATGTGCTTGTTAATGCTTACTAATGTACTTATTAAACATTATCTAATGATTTACAGATCACTGTTTCATTTAAATAATCATGCGTACAAATGTCATTCAATTTTAAATTCATGTGATCATGCACTTCTTGAAAATCTTCAAATGATTTTAACAGATGTTATACAATGATTTAAAGCTTTTGTTAATGCACAACACTTATGCTGCTATTGAGGTGTGATACGGGTAAGTTTAAAGACAGGTTTGGTGGTATGGGTAGGTTTAAGGGTTAGTTAAGGGGTCAACAGTGTAAAGTAGATTACTATAAGGGAACACGGTTCAATCTGTTTATATTACATTGTTTTGATAAATTAACAAGCATTTTCTTGAAAAATAGATTTGTTTTCTTCTGTTTATGTATGAGTAAAGGAATATCCTGTTTAATGATATACAGTAGTATACTAATATAAGTGTTGAGGCAATAAAAACATGTTTTGCACCACAATGTGCATGATTTCTTTAGCAAACATTTAGCAAAGCTTAACTAACCACTCTTTACACAAACGTTGTTACATTAGCTAAAAGTCCAATGCCCATAAAGATACTAAAAGATTAGTAAACATTTGTAAACATTTACAAATTATGAATAGTTTCAACTAGACTGGGTACTGCAAAAACATGAACAAATGATTAATAAATGATTAGTTAAAGGGGTCATATGATGCTGCTAAAAAGAACATTATTTTGTGTATTTGGTGTAATGAAATGTGTTTATACGGTTTAAGGTTCAAAAAACACATTATTTTCCACATACTGTACATTATTGTTTCTCCCTCCTGCCCCGCCTTTCTGAAACGCGTCGATTTTTACAAAACTAATCGGTCTGAAAAGCGAGGTGTGCTCTGATTAGCCAGCGCATCATATGACCCCTTTAAGATGTGTAAATAGGGTGCATTCAGGACCTTTGGGACACTTTTTGCCATCGAGATGACTGCCCATAAAGTTACTAATGATTAGTAAACATTTATAAACATTTGCAAATGATGAAGGGTTTCCACTTTAGATTGGGTACTGCAAAAACATGAACAAATAATTAATAATTGATTTGTTAAAATGTGTAAATAGTAGAAGTCTACACAACAAATGTAGACCAAATATGTGGCCTTTACAGGCTGTGATTATTTATTTATTTTTCCCCACAGCATTTTAAATGTTAAAAAGAGCATTTGGTTATATATGAAAAGTACATTAACAAGTAAGCTTGTAATTATTGTATAATTTCTGTTAAAATAAATAGTGTATTTTTTTTAAAGTGCATGATTGTATGAATCGAAAGACATTTGTAAGCATTAACTAATGATCCGTTAAGCATTATATAATGTTTGTTAATGATTTATTAATGAAGCTTTGAATCATTGTAAACCATCTGTCAAAATAATTTGAAGATTTTTAAAAGGTACATGATCATATGAATTGAAAGTTTAATGACATTAGTAAGCATTTCAAATTACATTAAAAATGATCTGTTAATCATTATGTAATGTTTAATAAGTACATTAGTAAGCATTAACAAGCATGTTATCTCACATTTCTAGCTATGTGAATTTATATTTACTAATGATCTGTTAAGCATTATATGTTTGTTAATGATTTATTAATGAAAGTTATTATAAAGTGTTACCATCGTTTATTATTATATAACCAAGTTTTGTTGGACTGATTTAAACAGGTTATTTTAGTGTATGTCGGTTTGAATGCAAATAAGCAGCTGCTCTCCGCACCCCTTTCTGCAGAATCCATGGATACACCAGCAAAAACAATGCAAAACAGCCACAGTTTGTGCCAAAAGCACGCAATACAAGAACAGACATGTGACATCAGTGTATTGAGCACTTTCTTCCTTTTCCCCAGACCAGTAAATAACCAGTAAAACATTTAAACAAACCAGTTATCTACAGTTAAAGTTCCCAGTGCAACAGAGGATGTTCTAGGATTGTGCTCTGCTTGCTTATCTCATGCATGCTCAAACTCCTTGCAGCCACTCCAGCAGCTCAACGAAAGCTCTACTCATGATGTGCTCTGCCAAATGTGGCTGTTATGTGACAGAAGTTCCCAAAACCAAATCTCTTACCGGTCACATCACAGCAGGTGGCTGGCAGGGTCATTCTTACAGTTTGGTGGATTTTGGACTGAAAAAAAAAAATAATAATCTTATCGGAGGATCAAAGTGACAGTATATCAGAAAAAAACTGGTCAACCCAGCTTGTTACGTCCATAGGGATGTATATGCTAAATGTATTTATTTTTAATGATTTATATTAAATTGTATTTTCTGTGTGTGTACTCTGTGTTCTTCTATGTTGCTCTTGCTCCTCCTACTGTCTGTTTGACAGGCTCATGAGTGCCACCTGACTCCTGTTCAAGCTCGTTAAGTGGAGTACAAAGGAACCCAGAGAATTCCAGTCCAGGAGAGAGGTTGAAGCTTTCCTTGTTGAGGGCCACTTCCATCTTCTTGTCCCAGCACTGTTTTTTCTCTATATAGTGCATTTGTGCTTTGCTTGTAGTGTTAAGGTAAAGCTGTGTAATAGTGATGGTGAAGTGAAGCATTCAAACACATTTGTATCGGAAAAAGGTTCAACACAGTTTATTCTGTGGCCATCTAGTGGTCGTAAAAATTAATAACACCTTCCAAATTGAAAGAAAAAAAGTGAAGTGATGTGTGGCCAAGTATGGTGACCCATACTCAGAATTTGTGCTCTGCACAAGTACACACACAGTAGTGAACACACACACAACGTGAACACACACCTGGAGCAGTGGTCAGCCATATTGCTGGGGTGCCCGGGGAGCAGTTGGGGGTTCGGTGCCTTGCTCAAGGGTCTCACCTCAGTTGTGGTATTGAGGGTGGAAGAGAGCACTGGCTATTCACTCCCCCCACCGACAATTCCTGCCAGACCTGAGACTCAACTTTTGAGTTACAAGTCCAACTCTCTAACCATTAGGCCACGACTGCCCAAAATTGCTGTGTTCCATTACAGCCGCTGGTTTCACATCTGGTTCTACAACTGATTCTTTGTTTTATTTTATTGTATATAAATATACAATAATATACAAAGTCATTCATTTGTGTCGGTGTACTGGCACTAAAATAAGTAAAATAAATTAAACATAAATTCATAAGTTAAATCCGTGATCTGTCTATTTGAACTCTGCCTCAGTCCTGTTATTTCATAGGCAAAGTTCATTTGAACTTAATATATAAATTACAAATTTGAAGAAAAAAAAACAATGCTAACGAATCATAAAGTAATATAATGTAAAGGAAATGGCGCTAAGGTTTGTGTCGTTTGAACCAGATACTGAAGCAGTCACGTGGTTTTCAGACGAACAAAGCTTCAAATGTCATAGATCACATGCTTTTGGCAAAACAAATCAAGCTCCAATACTATGCTTTGATGTGAAATGTGTTGTTTTTTTTATACAAGCTTCGGAGCTTCCGTGTTGAGCTTAACATCACTACTGTGTAGTGTTTTTCAGCTAACTGTTGTATCCCTGAGACTTTGAAACAATCTAAGTTGTAAAGTGTGTTCTAGCTAACTCTGGTGTACCTGAGCTGGGTAGTGTGTTTCAGCTAACTGCTGTATTCCTAAAACTAGAATCCCTAGAGATGGACAGATTGCTTCAACATTTTCTAATAGTTTATGTGGGAATATTTTTTGTAGGGAGGTGGATGCCTTTTCTTTTAAGACCTACTTTTTTTCTTCTCCTGTGTTTAAACTAGAGAGGGAGTCAGGGATGTATCTCTGTATTTTATTTCCTTTCATTTGGTAGGAAACAGTGCTTGAAGTGGGCCGGTAGGAGTACTGGCACTTATTTTTTTCCACTTCAAGCACTGGTAGGAAAGTTATTATTTAAAAAAACCTAGTAAGTATGTTTTGTTTGTTGTTTTGGCCTTTTTTCCCTCTTGAAGCTTTTGTTTGATTATTTTCCAGTTTGTTCAATAAAATATCTTGAGCATTTTGTGTATGCCTTGGGACCTGGAGATGGCAGTCTCTCAGGCTGCGTTTACACTGGCACAAAAAATCAGATCTTTCGCTCACATCTGACACAAAACTCCTAATGCGAGGGCGGCACGTTTGCTCATAAAGATTTTTAATGGTGTTTTAATGCCGGCGTGCTGTATGCGCTCGCATTTTATTGAGATTGAAACTTTTTATAGGTAAGAAATTGCACATTCAGGAGCTGGTTTTCAACCCCCGCCCCGTGAATTTTTTAAATACAACAGCTAAAAGCTACATATATTT